AAGATGGCTCTTAAGCATCCACAGCTCTTCTAACCCACATTGCATCCCCAGACCCGACTCATTTCATGATTCTTCCCTGATTTTCATAGGTAGGAAAAGTTGCATACGGCAGGTGGTCTTCCACCAACACAATCTTTTAAATCTTCTTACCTTCCCCAAAGAGCTGCTTTAGTGCCGATTTGGCGTGAGGGGGGTCCGGACAGATGGCCAGTCTTTTCACGTTTGGAAAGGATGAAAAATGCTAGGGGGGAAAAAATCCCAGTGGTTTTTTTCGCTGTACGGCGCAGAGGGCTCCAAACCTCATTGGTCCTGGGAGGTCCACCACGTGGCACAGGATGAAGAGCATGTGACCTATTTTCTCCCAAATCCCTCAGTTTGCTGGAAAGGGGGATGCACCCACTGCTGATGTTCTTGTCATTTCAGTGGGCTTTGATTTTTTTTTTTTTTTTAATTATTTTTTTAAAGGCCACTGAGCAAATCGGGTTGCCTCAAGGCGATGAGGGTGAACCAGCCAACGCTTTCAACATGAAGGAGAAAGGAGCTTGGATACGAGATGAGCACCAGGGCACTGCCCGTGTGCGGGGAGAAATTGGGAAATGCTTTAGCAGGGTACCGGCAGAGCAGTGCCTGCTCACTCACTCCAGGGATGGAGCCTTTTGGGGGGAGAGGAAGGTGTATAGCAATGCACATTTGGCTGCTGGCAATGGACTGTGTTAAACCATCCATCTCAGAGGAAGCAGCAGCGGCAGGAAGGACCAGGCTGAAGGACTGCAGAATCCAGAGGAAGGGGATGTGTTACAACTGCTCCATCACAAAAAAAATTTTCTTGTGCCTTTATGTTGCTTCTGACCTCTCCCAGGCTGATCCCATCCTCTGGTGCCTTACCAGCTATTGCACAGTGGTTGCAGCAACCAGCTTCTCTGAGAGATAAGTCTGCTTTGGAGGCAGAGGGTCTGCTGAAACTGCTTTCTTGGAAGAAAGACCAAGGGCAGTGGATGGAGCACAGCATGCTCTGGGTGGGCACTGCCTGCTCTCACCACCACATGGCCATGCCAGGCTCAAAGGGCATTTCAAAGCGTTCCCCCACAGACACTCACTAAACCTAAAACGCAGCACAATTATGGGGATGTTCTTCCCCAGAAGGGTGCCCAAGGCCCCGTGGATCAAGGCAGGACAAGCCAAGCTCCCAGCGTCTGACAGGTGCTGGGGATCCCTCCTTGCCCCAGCTCTCTATTTCCCAGGGGACAGCAGCTCTGAGCCACCACATCCCAGCCAGCCATGGTCCACAGGCCAAGCAGATCCTGGCCTTCCCTTGGTAACTGCAGGTACCAGCCCATCAGTTTCAGGACACTCATGTTGGGGAAAGGCAAAGGAATTTTTGGAGCCCAAGACATCCTCTTGCATTTCCTGTCAAAGCTCAAGCCCGTGTGTCACGCCAATCAGAAAGTGCATTTTTCTGGCAAACTAAGTCCACCTGGCACATCCCTCAACTGTGCCATCTTGTCATGCTAGCGATATGCCTGTTCATCATCCCTGCCAACAGAAAGTCCTAAGTGAATCTACCTTTGGCATCTGCCCTGGAATTTCAGTTATGTTATTCCTGCAGAGCAGCTGTCCCCAGCCATCCTATTATCCAGGGGCTCAAGCCCTTCTTATCTAAGGATAACACCTAAGGCTCCTCGAAGAACCAGCTAGACTTGGACTTTGGTGAAAAAGCACAGCTCTGGCCACCTCCATGCCTTCTTGGAATCACCACCACGTCCTGATCTGGCACCCAGCCCGACTGCTGGTTCTCCCTTGTGACTGTTCCCCTGCACATGGCTCTGCACGGGGACAGAAAGCATCAGGAGCACAGTCCCTATTTCCAGGTCCTTCCTGAGGCCAGACTGTCTTACCATGCTGTTATCAAAAAGAGAAGTACAGCTCTAAAATGCCTCAATGCAGGGTTTCACCTGAAATCCTCTGCGGCTTGGAGGGTCATATTTCTCCATTCATCGGCCAGATGATGGGGCATTTTAGTCCAACAAATACAAGATGAGGGAGAAACTTGCCAGGCTCAAAAGCAAATTATAGACACAGCCAAAAGTGCTCAGCTTGCTGCTTTCCCCTCCCACATTTTGTAATGGCCAGTGTGCAAAGGAAGAGAGGGAACATCCCCATCTTCCAGCCCCACATCTCCTTGTTTGCAGCCCCCTCATCGTTCCCCAGTGATGCCCAGCTAAATCTGGCTCCCAAGTAATCTTCTGAATAATTATGTAATATAGAGGCAGGCATAGAAATAATTTTAGGCTGCTCTGTCAATAGAAAGCAAGCTGGATTAAAAGATCAGAACAAGCAATACTTAGATTAAAATGGTTTGTTATTTTCAGCTGTGGAAAATCTGTGGCTAAAGCACGGAAGATGTTGAGGGAAGGCGCATCATCTTTCTTTCCCCAAAAACAACCTTTCTACATATTAGCCAAGGTAAATTCTAGGTTTCCAACCTACGCTCAGGTTTGTTTCCCAATGGGTCAAATAAATACAATTTGCCAGTTAGTATGGCATTTTATGTAAAGACTTAAGAGCAGTGTAGAGATGCTTCAAGTTACATTCTGACCTGCAAGCTGAGTCCGAATTAAATACCATCAATGCATCGCTGCTTGTTAAGACATCAGACCACCCAAGTCATGAGAATAAGCAGGCAGCTTGGCAGACAACTTCATTACCTATGAGAAACATGCCTCCTGGCACACAGCATGGGCTTTATTGGTACCGACGTCTTTGCCTTTAGCATGTGCCTCCCTGCACCCCTGAGCTGATGGTAGGCAGACACCAAGCTTACCAGTGGTAGAGGGGCAGCCGCGGCTGGGAGAAGCCCATCAGACAGTGGGGCAGCTCTCTGCAGGCGCCTATATGGCATCCCACTTGCCCCCAGCAAGGTCAGCAGCTTGGGGTGCCACACCAGGCCCCGCTCTGACTGATGGCTTTGGAAAGGCGTGAAGGAAAGGCAGGAAAAAAACAGTGAGACAGGGACCTGATGCTGGGGGCCGAGCCCTCCGCAGGGCATGGTACTCATCAGCCACATCCCAGATCGATGCCACTAGCTTTGCTCATTCACCTTCAAGTTCAGATTAAGCAGAAGGGTCAAACTGGGAAATTGTTTGCCACTGGCGGGCACGTCCCCACCCACCCCCCACAGCCTCGTGTCACAGCCTTTTCCCCTTGCTGGCATGGACACCTCCCACCCAAGCCCCTTGCTAACCTCACAGCATCTCTGGCCCCCAGCATCAGCAGTGACCACTCGTCACATCACCTGGATGCAAGATGGAGCAGCAGCAGCTTCCCAGTGCCAAATAGTCTCCAATAACCAGGTCCTCTTCCAGGTGTCCTTCGCACCTGTAGTTTTTCTATAAAGTAGTCATGGTACTACACACACAGGATCACCTCTGAGTTCTAAGGATGAAGTCCCATGGGGCAAGAGGTCCAAGCCTGCCTTGAAGAGGGGTTAGCATTTAAAATGAAAACCACACCTTGCTTTGCATTTTAAGCCAGAAGCTGCTGGCTTGCTCAGAGCCGGGAACCAGGCTTCAGTCTTGACTGCAAATGTGGTAGAGAGGCCAGGGCACGGGCCTGGGAGAAGGGATGGGATGTTGGACAGGGAGCATGTGAAGGCAGAAAAATGAGGTCAGAGACCTCCCTGGAGGAGATGGGAGATGTGAGTTGTCGTGATGTTTGCCCAAATGATGCTTTAATAACCACTTACTGCAGAAAAGTGTCTTCACTAAAGCCAGACAACAGAATGCACTTGCTGGACAGACTGGGCTTAAGAGTGCTTGTGGGAGGACAGTCTGGGGACTTGGTCCCCACTGGATACTCAGCTCTCCCAGCAAGGACATGTACCAGTTTTCCTGGGGTTGGTAATGGGAACCCCTTCCCCAAGACCTGGTGTGCTCAGGGAAATGCCAGTAAGCAGAAAGAGGCAGGGCCCTCCAGGGATGCACTCCTAAGAACATCCTTCCTTCAGCTCATGGCCTCCAGGCTACCAGCAGGAAAAAAAACAACTTCCCTCCACCCCCCAAAAACCCCCTCTACATATGGATGTGTTTGTAAGAGGCACACAGGAGCCGCAGATGGTGATGGAAGAAACCTCAGATGATGCATGCTTAAGATCAGGTGTAACTAGTACCCACCACGTCACCAGTGATCATGGATAAGCCTCCTCACAGGTTTTTGGGCAAGTTCTATCCTTACTGTACCTGAGTTACCTACAGCTCTTCTGAGAAGCCTTCATCCCCTTACCCAAAACGCATCATCTTGTTGCAGGTATAGGCTGGTGTCTCTCGGGGTTTTATGTGCAGAAAACAGCAATTAATGACACTTTTAAAAGGAAGGGGGGAGAAGAGAGGTGGATTTGTCTGTTGCTACAACATTTCTGCTTTATGGAGCTGTCTTCTCACTCAGAGATGCGTGTTCTCCTCTTCACTAATGGAAAATGTTGCCTCGCCGTCCATTTGCGATAGTCAATGCCTGGGACAACACAATGGCCCCAGGCCAAAGCAAATCTATTTTAGTAACAAAAGCAGAGTGGCTGACGAGAATGACCCCATCTATGCACTTCCCAGCTTAACTCTTTAGCTGGTTTTAATGGACGCCTATGACCAACATGGTGGAAAACAGGCAGACGAGTGCAATGAGGGCAGCGGCGGCAGGATGGGACACCTGCGCGGATGCATGACTGTGCCAACCCCTTTGCACAGAGACACTCCAGCAGCAAAATACACCTCTCACAGAAGCTCTGTTAGTAGGATTGCACCATGCAGGGAGCAAAACCCCCTTCCTTTTTATGCCCATGCCGTAGCACTGCCCCTCACAAGGAGCTGGGTCCCTGCAGTCCAGCAGTATGTCTCTCTGCAAAGCCTAACCATGTCCTCCCTGCAGGCATTTTATAGCCTAAGGGAGACCACGGTGCATCCACAAAGACCCCTGGGACTGGAAAAGTGTCTGAGCTCACCTTACCTTACCCTGCAGGCCAGCCTCGAGCTCCAGAGCGATTCCTTGGAGGGTCTGGTTGCACCAGAAAAGGGCATGCTGAGCACAGGGCAGCAACCAGCGGTCCACAGCACAAGTCTGCAAACCAGGACATGGCAGAGGTTAGGCACAGCACAGAGGAAGGGCACCCGAAGGCTGCTTACTGTCCAGGAAAAGTGAATTTCAGAAAGAAATAAAACATGGTTTGCACTGGGGGGGACAAAATGTTCAGGAGCATCACCTCCAGGTTGGTTATGGGGCAGGCAGCAAAGCCCTGTCTATATTTTTATCTACACTCAGACCAGATTTGGGCAGGTCCTGCTCCAGCATCCATTAAAGAAGGGAAGTAAACTAAAGAGCTGGGCTGTGGAGGAGGGGGACCCCCAGACACAACCCCAGCAAGACCTCCCAAGTGACCAACATCCCAATGGTCTGGCTGTGGGAACTCTGAGCACCACAGAGGGAGCACAAGCCAAGGGTCTGCTTCATCCAGAAATCAAACCTCAATGGAAATAATCCAGCACGCTTCAGTGACATAGGTGCAGCATTATTTTTATTGCTTTATTTTTGCTGCTTTTTCCAGTTAGTTAACTGGGGCATGCATTACCCATCAATAAAATCAATCCAGAAGCCTGAGCTATTAATAAGCTGAGTGCCAGAGGGCAGAAAAACCTCTCCATCTCCCAAAATATTTTTTGGGCAGTGGGGTGGGTGAGCTGCAGGCCCCACTCATTGCTTGGCCTTGATGTGATGGGGCAGCTTGTGAGTTATAATGGGAAACCTTCCTCTTCCTGGTGACTCAGCAACCACCGTACCTACCCCCAGCGACCTGGGTATGAGGGGCTGATGCCATGGGAAGGAGCACATCAGTGGGAGGAGAGTCCATGAGACCCCCCTGAGGTCAGTCTTCAGGTCCTGCCTGCTGCTCACAACATCATCAGCACTAAGATCAGAGCAGCTTGTCCAGGGCTTTATCCCTTTGGGGCTTGAAAACCTCCGAGGACAGGGACTATAGAGTCTCTCTCAGTGACCAACTGTCCTCAGAATTAATGTTTTTTCCCTATAATACTCTATATGACTTTCTGAATGGCAGCCAGGTCCTCCAAGGTAATGACTACATCCCCAGCTAGTGTCACCTGCAAGCAGGACAGGTCCCAGGATGGACCCTGAGGCACTTAAGTACTCTCCACTGAGCCTACACAAGCAAAATAAATTTTAAATTCTACTGTCACAATCGTAACATCCTTCCTCGTGGACTCTCAACAGAGAGGGAACAAAAAAACCCCCAACAAATCCAAATAGCCGAAAAAAATTGGAAAGGATGGAAAACCCAAACTGTGACTCACCGTTGGAGGAACAGCAGGCGCAGATCAGGGATTTCGTGGGGTAGATGGCTGGGGATCAGCAGCTGAGGTGGCGGGGGAGGACCTGGAAGACAGCATGACATCTCAGCACCCCAGGGTTCCCCCTACCTGGGAACCCGCAAGAGCCTCCTCCCAGCACTGCTTCCATGGCCACAGGTAACCCAGGGAACAGGACAAAACAGCCTCGAGCAGAAGAATCCTTGGTAAATTTTTTATGCCAGTCAGCAAAAACTTCTGGTCACTAATTCCAGTATTGAGAAAAGGAAGAAAAAACTGACCATGGCACCAGCTTCATCAAAATACACATGAACAAGGGGGCTCAGACAAGGATTCAGGATGCTGGAAGGACAAGGGGTTGCAAGAAAACCCCCTTCCTTCTCCCCAGCACCAGCGCAGGCAAGCCCCTCTGCCACAGCCCCATGGGCACATCCTGCCTCCCTGCTGCCCACACAGGCACAGAGCAGCAAACCACAGCCTTCATAAGGAAAGAAACTTTTATTTGTCTTCCAGGTCATAGGTTTGAGTTTATCCCAAGACAAGGCTTAGCATTCAGGAAATGTGTCATTAAACAATTTGTCAGCAGTTTTCTTAATCAAATATTGGTCTGTCTCCCAGCAGCTCTGCTTCTTGTTATGTTACAACCCGTCCACCCTTACAGCAACATGCTAAATGGTAAGATCCCACCCACGACCCTGTCGTCTTTCACTGTGCACCACATGTACACCCACCCACAGAAACTTCTGCTTCCATAACAGCTTTTTCCTCTGAATGTTTGGTGCAGATAGAATTGTAAGCCAGTCTCCAAAACTGCTGTTTCTATGTCTTGCGGCCTTCTGAGATGCACAGGAGCAGGTGAGTCAAGCCGTGCAGAGGAGCTGAACGCTTGCCTAGACACCTAAGTGGTATTCTCTGCGATTAAGGTGCAGGTCACCTCCTGGTACAGACATGCCTGCATTTCCCAGAGGATTGGTGCTGTGCTGGGGTCAACCTCAGTTCCATTATGGGTATGAGTGCACCTCAAGTAACCCCAAAGTTGCCTCCAAGCAGAAGCCTCAGGACTCCAAAGCATGTCTTGACCACAGCAGCTTTAAGCATCCCTCAACTCCTCCTGCAGGGCCATTTCCAGAAGAACTCTGCCGGGTGCAGCCATCTACTGTGGCCAAGGAGGCCCTGGCTGTGGCAGCTGTCTGTGTCCCCACATCACCCAACAGCAGTATCTTGTTCATCAGTGACCAATGCAAGGCAGTCAGGAATTTCTTAAAAGACAGCATCACAAGCTTATGGACAAGCAACTTTTTGATCTGCTGGTAGACTATCATCCTCACCATCATCACTCCAGCACGGCTAAAGACCCTGCATCTTGTGTCTGCTCTGTCAATACAAGAAGAGGAGTCAATTACTTTTTTTCCTGGTTGTTTCTCTCCCCTGAAACACACACGGGTGCTGTGAGAAAGACACCAGCAAGCTTATCACACCAAAAGCTTTCTGTCTTACAATTCATGGCAGTGGAGAGCATGGCCCCATCTCTGCATGGCCAGCTCATCCACTAGCTCTCATGGACTAGGTCCCATTAGTAAATTTCATCAGCAGTGTTCATGAGGGGTCACCCAGGATGCTGAAGGAGTCACTTGTGAATAGCAGAGCAGCAGAGGTATCCAGATCCCAGCAAAAACACACCTATTGCTCCTAGATAAAAGAACCTGAGAATGCAATGAATTCCAAAGCACTGATGGGGCCAGTCCCCTCAAAAGTCAGCCTTTGTAGGCTATGACATTTCAACATCTTTAACTCATGCCAGAGGGGCACCAAGCACCCTGAGCAGAGCAGCAGGTACCCCATACAGCACGCCCCAGAGGCTTGGCAGCACCCTCAGCTTGATACCACCTACATGCACTAGAGACCTCAGCCACTTCATTCCACGGGACTGAAAATTTCACAGCATTTAGTCTTGAGTGGGCAAGGAGGAATCACAGAGATATGGACAAACATCCTCTGGAGGGTTTGACCCTCTGGCATCAGCAGGATGCAAAGATGAACAAACTGTATGTAGCACCCTGCTCATGCGCAGGTGATTCTCGGAGGTGAGCTGACAGGTACTTCCATGTCCTGTGCCCAGTTCCATGTGGCTGTGACAACTTCCCCAATTTGGCTCAGGCAGAGCAAGCTGGTGAGCACTGCTCTTGAGGACATCTGTGGGCACCCAAAGGAGGACCTAGGCATGGAGGCAGTCCCTTGCACTACCTTGGTGGGTGTCCAGCTCACACGCTGCCCTGCTGCCCAGCCCAAACCAGCATTTCACACCAGGAATCATTTTTAAGGGCCCCCCAAAGCAAAGGTTTCTCATGCAAAACCAGATTTTCAGCAGCCTTGCGCATAGTCTCCCCATCTCTGTGCCTACTCTGGGCTGGAGATGCAGCAGCAGCCCCCTGACAACCCTGGCAGGCTGCCCTATCCTACCATCCCAAATATCAGCAGGTTCTCCCATATCCCCTACCACAAACCACCTCCCCTGCAAAAAAAGTCTGCTCCAACACCCAGCCTGCCTCTCCTGCAAACAGCCGGCCAAGATGGACTTCAGGTCTCCCTCACCTGTGAGTATCTGGATGTTTGTGCCCATAGGACATCTCACTTGGCCCATGTTTGGGACCATGGGGCACCTGTGTGGGGTGCAACGTCTGCAGAGAGTATGGAGAGCTTGCAGATGTCCTCATCCTTTGCTGCAACCCCGCCAGGGAAAACTCAAACTCTTTTGGAAAATGTGTTGTGCAGCTGGTGAGGGATGCACCAGATGGTATGGGATGGATGGGGATGTTCCCCCACCATATCATCAATTTCCTGAGCTATAATACACCTTATATATGGAAAACTCAGCAAAATGGCTTCATCAGCATTGTCCCCCCAGGCTGTTGGACCCCTTCATGTTGTAGAGGACCCCACTCCCATCCAGTTGGGGTGAAGCAGCCCCTGTACCACTGGGATCTGCTTTGTTCTGCTGCTTGAGGTTTTCAGTGCCATCGCTCATTGCGCAGGGGAGAGAACGATCCTCCCCTGACCTGTGTTCCCATCATCCGCCTTACTGGGTGTTTTACGCAGAGAGAGGCAATGATTTTAATGTCCCAGTGAACAAGCTGTCGGGACGCATCAGCCTCAAAGGGCAGACTTCAGAGATGGCTTCTCCTCCCAGGCACTGCCTGGGAAAGGAAAACCAATTCCAGCTCTGCGCACACACACACACACACACACACACACACACACCCACGTGTGTGCCACTGGTGCCCATTAGTTTCCAGCCTTTTAACAAAACAGCCTTCAAAACCGCACTCCTCAGGAGGGGTAGGTGGTGAGCCCAAGGTGGGGGGGCCGTAGGTGAGCTGCCACCAGGACGACGCAGCCGCCGGGCAAGCAGAGCGGGCAGCCCTGCAGGCAGGAGCCAGCGTGACGTGATGGGACCTGAGCGCTCTGAAGCCGTCAAGAGTCTCAGCAGAGATGAGCTGAGAAAAGCCATGAGCAAAGCTGACATCTGCCCCCTGGGCGGGTACCTAATGAGCGGAGACATTGTCCATTTGGGGAGACGAGGTAAAGTTAAAAGATTTCAGAGCTGACACCTGGCAGCCTCCATTGGTATTCCTGGCAAAATGGCAAGGGAAGGAGAATGGAGATGGGGGGCCAAAATTGATCTCTTCCTTGGGCTCCGCAGTGGTGAGTGAGAGGGATGGGGGTGGTGTTGGTGTCTCAGCATCTTGTCTGCTGCCCGGAGCAACCGTCTTTGTGATTTTTCTACCACATTAGAAGAGAAACTGGTGCTTTCTGAGAGCTGCCCCAACGGGATCATCCCTGGCGAGGTCTGCCAGGGTCTCACATGGCCCCATGCCCGCCGAAAAGGCATGGGGAGAGCATGTTCCTGGGTCCAGCAGCACATCAGACCCGCTCTTGAATGGTATCTGGGTACAGGCAAAGGTTCCTGTGTCCCACAGTCCCCATAGCCTGGGAGCAGAATGGCATTCAGCAAATCCCTGGCCCCCAGCATCACCCAGCAGCCCCCTCCTGCTGCTTCCACAAACCTAGTTCAGTCAGTCCTTATAAATCCAGCCTCTGTAAGTCCATTTGTCATTTGCACTTCCCTAACTTACCTCCAGCTTCTTTGCTTTCCGCTACCTTCAAATGGTGCCTGGTGACGAGAGGGGAGCAATGGACCATATCACCCCTATCACCTCCGGGTTTTCCTCTCCAGAAAACCTGGTCAGCAAACTCCCCTCACTTATCCCCAAAGCCATGTCGTGTGTCAACCTGGGAAAGCCCCCACTGAGATGCTTTCATCCCCACCCACCTGCCTTCTTTCCCAAAGGCCAAGTGAGTTTTACAGGGCAATTATCACCTTGGGACTGTCCTGGGTGGAAGGGGAGTTCCTCGCACATCCTCAAGGCTTCCTACCAGCCAACAACAGCTTAAAAAACTTGCCATTGCTCCACGCAGTTTCCATCAGCTCCATCAACAAACTCCCTCGGGTCTAAACCACATTGAAAGTGCAATTTTCACCCACGTAGCTCTGGGGTTTTTCACTCCTTTCCGAAAGATATAGCCAGAAATGGCCAGCCCACAGTGCAAACCCAGGGGTGGCTTTGCCCGGGATGCCCGGGAGCAGGGACAGCAGCTGGGCTCTGGCTGCTCCTCCCCGGCACCCGCTGACCTGCTGGGCTCAAGCAGATGGAGCAGCCGCAAATCCCCCTGTAAGCCAGGGAAGAAGACTAATCTCCTAGAGGACAAATCGGTTGGCAAGGGGGGGAGGGAAGCTTGGCATTTCACCTTTTCCTCCCTCTTCCAGCAAACGCCAGCAACATCCAGCATGCTTGGAGGGACCCCAGCACACCTGAGGGCAGAGGAGACAGTGCCAGGGGCTTGGGTACCTGGTGGAGACCTATTTTTTTCCCAAAAGCAGACATGTCATTTAGGTCACAGCAAGATAAGCCGTAAGTGCCCTATCCATCAGCTGGTGTCTCCTTGGGGGAAACCACATCTGGTGAGTTCTTAAAACTTCCAGAGTGCTCCCAGGACATGAAGGGCTGAGGCTTTGCTGCACAGGAGAAGTCCTTAGTGTGTTAAGGAAGCCTTAGGAGCAGCCACCGGGATGAGATGGACCATCCGCAGTGGAATCCCCCATCCTTCCTCACCTTTGGGGAAGAATGGGAATTAGATCCATTGAGTGAGCTAGTTTAAGTCTTCAGCCAAACATGTTCTCTCCAAATCCATCACTAAAAGGATTAGGAGTGATGTAATGCACTGATGTCAAAGCAGTCAAGCCAGAGCCAAGCCCCAGCAGCAGATACCACCAGCAGCTCCCCAGGACATCACCCATGGCCAAGCCCACTCCATGCCTTTCAGAAGGGTGTTTCTGCCAAAAAGATCCCAGAGCAGAGGTCAGCCTAAGGAGACCCCAGGATCTGCACAGCCCAGCCCTGCTCCCGGGGCCATTTGCAAGCAGCCAACCCCCTCCAACTAATTTTCCTTCTGCTCCAGAGGCAACTGAGAGTGAGGAGGTCAGCAAATTTGGTGCCATCATCTGTTCTTCTGGGTTGGGTTTTTTTCCTTCCCTCCCTTATCATTGCCCTTCTTCCCTTGCTTAAGGGCTGGCAAAACTACTCCTGCATGCTTACAAGGTAAAAACATCTTGCCAGATAATGTCAGCTCTACTTGCAAAACTATGGGGTGTTTTCTAGCTGTGACAGGGAGAGCTGTTGATGACAGGCATGTTAGTTCTCATAAAAACTTGAAAGGAGGAGGCCGCAACCCAGGGCAAGGACAGATACCATATAGGGTGGAATGCATGGCATCTGGGCACAGTTTGTACCCTAGTCCTCTGATGAAGGTGCTTGGGTGACCGGCAGAGCCCAGTTAAGCCCTGGCTGAGCTGTAACACCCATAAGCATGGCACAGCATTACTTCTACCACTCACCCAGGGAGCCAGGCCCCCAGCACAGAGTCCACATGTAAGGAAATATTCCTGGAGAGAGAGTGTGAGCTATCAGTGCGTGTCCCTGGGGACCATGGTCACCCAGTCTGTGCAGTAAAAACAGGCAACATCAGGGCCCTCACTCATCCATCCCCTGCCATGCACTGGTGTCCAAAATCCCCTGGACGGGCAACACACTTTTCAGGTGGGGAAACTGAGTCACAGAATTGTCTAGACCATTGAGGTGCCTGAACAGGTCCCCCTGGGTAGATTTTTCAGCAGACATTAAAACCCCTGATGATGCTACAAGGCTGCTTCTCTGCACCTCACCATGCACTCACCATCCTCCCCATTACAGCCTCCTGTTTTTTACAAGATCCTTTGCCCAGCACAAGCTCGGGGATCCCCTGAGCTCACCCTGAGCATCCCCAAGGCATCCTCCTCCCCTGACACAAAGCATCCAACATAGCCAGATCAGGAGAATCTCTCCCAAAGCTATGAGATGTCAGAAACACGTGAATTTTGCCCATTGGCTTTGGGCTTCATAGCTTCCCAGGTTTCCCAAGGTACGTTTCATGGAGTGGCCACGGGCAACCACAGCAGAGAGGCTCGCTTGCCCCATGGAGCTGCACCTCCACAGGAAAGGGCTTTGCTTCACAGATACCCTCTCTACATGCCACTGTCATGCCTGGAGTACCCTGGGCATCTTTGGACCTGTGGTGGGACCGTTCCTGCCTCCTTACCCCTGGGGCCGGTCCCCTGCACAGCACGGCTCGGAGGCACATCTGGTGGCGTTGGGAAGGTGACAGTGCAGCCAGCTGGGCGGCCCTTGCCCTGCAGACAAAAGGGATAAGAGTCAGGCTGCACCGGGGTGAAAGCATCCTCCAAACAACGCGCCCTGACACAGAGCAAGGCACTCGGCTGCCCAGTGGCAAAACCCTCAAAATCCTTGCAAGTATGATGGAGCAAAGATGTCACAACCAGAGACATGGGGGGCGGGGGAACCCATGTCATGGGGTGGGGTGAACCTGGAGTACAGAGCCCATGTCATGATGTGTTTGCACAAGGGGGAAAGTTTCAAGGTAGACCCCTGGCAGCACCCCCAGCCCCATGCCGGCTGTGGTTCGGTGTTTCTACGAGTCCCATGTTCATGCAGTGTTCACCACAAACACATTGCGGGGAGCTCCAAAGCATGCACATAGCAAAGCTGCACATCGCAGATGAGAAAACCTTCCACAAGCAGCAGCTCAGCTGCTAACGGCAGGAATAAGGCAAGCATTTGCTACCTCTGCTTGCAGCAGCACATCACTTATGTTTCCAAATACGTTGCTTGAGTTATTATCATTAGTGGCTTTTAAGAAAAGACTCTGCTCCCTTCCCACCTCGAGCTGAGCATGGGCAGGCTGTGCTGGTGCTGGTCGCTCACCCCATGCCCACCACAGCAGGTCCCCACTCCAGGGACACCCATGCAGGTGCTTCAGCATCACCCAGCACCCACGTCAGAGGTGCTGCAGCCCCAATTCCCTGAGGACAAGCAGGTCCTAGCACTGCTGGGAAGCAGCAGCTTTTCCCAAACCCTGGGTCAGCAGACTGGGGCCCTCCAGGGCACTTGGATTTTCAGGAAACCATCACCTTAGACTAGGAAAGTCTGGACAAGAGGGTTTACTCCTTGGTGGAGGATGCATAAGTCATCCTCCAGCCTGCCCTTGAAACTGAGCCAAAAAAGCTTTTACCTAAAGCAGCCAGCAATAGGATACCAGATCTGGAGCTACAGGATTAACCCCTTCCTGGGAAATGCTGGCTGGTTGCCCTTGCATGTGGCCCCCCCTTTCTCTTCCTCTGGTCGATGCTGGATTTCCCCCACCATGTGTGCCCATCAGGCTGGTGGACATGATATCTGTAGTCCCCTGGCAAGGCTGGGGGGGCACACACCACGAGACCCTGGTGATGGGATGCTGCCAGATCAAAGGAGGCTTAAAACACATTCCCCCCAGCTGGGGAATGGCATTTCTCTTCTGTGTGTCTCCTCACAAAGCCTACCCAAACAGGCCAGAATTTGGGGCTCAGCAAAGGGAAGAAGCAACCAAAAGAATAAGGTGAAAAATTCAAAGCACTTCATTTTGCCATTTTCAGAGGAAAGCGTTTGGGTTTTGACTCCTTAGGAAGTCACCAACCATTCATAGCTCCTCTAAAGGGCTTGACATTGATCAGTGTGCCAAGTCTCAATGTGTTTTCCCCAAAAATACCATATTCCCTCCTCGACAGAAAACAGCCCCTTTGGGACACCCAGAGGAGGGACTTTCTGTGTTAAAGGGAATTTTTCTTCTTTCTGGGTTCCCTGCAGACAATCTGAGAGGTGCCAGCACCAGTTTGCCTGCCAACCTGATGAAAAGCAGACCTATTTCTGCAGTGTGGAAAGGCAAGAGCCTCCACCCATGGCCATGCACTGGGATGGGGCAGAAAGGGGAAGGATGCCCCTGTCCCTGCCCCAGGTATCACTGCCCCATGGCTGGGAACAAAGGATCCACCCTGGGTACAATAACACTGTCCCCCAGCCTGGCACGTCTCCAGCGTCCCCGCAGCCTCTGCGCAGGGAAGGACAGCCAGCAGGCGCCGCGCGGGATGCCGGCCATATCTTAGTGCCGTTAATTCACCTCCACAATTAGCAGGGTGGAGAAGCAGTGCTTCTGGCAGAGCACCGAAGCCGTGAGGAAGTGCTGCCATTAGCGCTGCCAGCAGCTGCCTGAACTGTGCCTGCTTCCCGCGGGGGCCAGAGCAGGGCACTGCCAGCAGTCCCGCAGCAGCAGGGGGTGGCTCTGAGGACATTTTTCCCTCTCCCCAGGCTCTGCCCCATGGGAGGGACATCACGTATGCAGGGGTGTCAGCAGCACCCCAGTCTCACTGTGCAGCTTCTCAGGGGCAGGCACAAAGAATGGCTGGGTGGGAGCCAGCTCCAGTCCCAAAAGAAGCCCATGGTTTCCCGGGGCCATTGCAAAGAGAAGAAAAAGGAGCCAGGGGTTATAATTATACCTGCTAACCTGGGCTGGAGCCTCCCACAACAGTCCCATGGACCCGGGGCTCAGGCAGCACAGAGGTTGAGCATTGCTCAACCTACCCCAGCAGTGTCTGGCAGCAGTTTTAGCACCTACATGGGCCTGCTTGGAATTTCAAAGCAGAGCTACACCTCCTCCGCTATCATTTAAAGCAAGCCCAAACAGAGGTTTCTCTCTTGCATCCTCCCAGAGGCCACTGTGGAAATGCTCCTAGAAAGCATGGACTAGGTCACAGAGATTTTGGGTGCCTTTGTCACCTCCCATGGGGGTCTCCATCCCCAAACTGCTTGTTTACAGCTGGAGCCGGTCTGCACAAGGTGCTGCTATCCATCCCCTCCACCCTGGGGGACCCCTGTCCACCTCCCAGCTCCTCCAAGACCTTGGCACAGAGCAGTGGTTGGTGCATCTCCCACCAGGACCACCCTCCCCTTTGCTACCGCATCCCTCAGGATGCACCGTCACTCTCTCCTCTTGCAAGGATGGAGAGCGTGCACCGTCCGGCTGCAGGCCGGGAAAGCCTGGGACGCCTGTACCGCGCTGCGTGGCCGCAGCCCCTGGCTTCACCCCACACCCACAGCATCATGGGAGCCCCTGGGGTATTACAGCCCCCAGCTGCCCCATCTGTCCCCAGGCTGATCGTGCCGCAAGGTGGGGGAGGACGCTCTGTGGTGTGGGGCTCTGCGCCATTCCCGGGGGGCCATGCAGCATCCGCACCAGGGTGGGGACGCTCTGCAGCACAGCGGTCATCAGAGAATGCTGCACAGGGCTGGGCTGCCGTGAGGAGGGTGGTATGGGCACCCCACTCACCAGGATGGCTCAGCAAGGCCTCACCCAGACCCCAGGGGGACTCATCAGGATGAACTGGGCAATAAATGCTGCTCACTGCCGCAGGGGCGATACCCAAATAAACCTACCACTCTCAAACTGGCTCCATGCGAGGAGGGGTGATGGTTCCAGAGGGGAGGGAGGAACAACGCCAGCACAGGGCACCCTGTGCTCTTTTGAGGCGCATGCTGATGAACCAGCCCAATTTCAGAGGAAGGACAGAAAGGTCCCAGCTGGGGAAATAGGCTCCCGGGAGACGATTCACCCAACTGTGGAGGCAGATTGGAGGTGCAAGCTCCAGAAACGAGGCCTGGGCCCCCTTCCTCCACCTGGCCCTTATACTGGAGGTTGCATCTGCCGCAGCTGGATGCACTGATGAGCTGCTCGGTGGGTGCTTGGTGACTGGCACACCCGGAGCCAGGGCTTAGAAACAACTGCTGGACCGACACAGTGGGCCACTGTGGGATGCTCGCGCCTTAAAGTCACCACCCAAAAGCCAGCTGCCTGCACAGCATCACTGCCATCACCTGTCCACACGCACACCTCTCCCTGCAGTGGCGGGTGGGGGTCTCGGTAAGCTTTCTCCTTTGGGGACCCCCATTCGTGGGCCAGGGCCGCAGGGAGCTTGTTTTGGTAGAGGCCAGCCTCTGCTGAGCCAAACAGCATCCAGGGCTGGGAGACAGGGACGGAAAACTCTCAGCAGCCTCGCAGAAACACACACCCGGGGAGGTGACAAGGCATGGGGCGGGGGGGAGCCCCTCGGGATGGGGACACGGGGGACCATCGCTCTGCAGAGCCACCCTGCGTTCGAAGGGTGCTTGCCTCCTGCTCCCGGACTGGTTCCCGGAGTGATGTTGCACCGGCAGCCGCTTCCTCGTCGGAGGAGCTCTGTCCCCATCCCCGCCACCACCCGGGTGCCCGCGGGGGGGACCCAGCCTCCCCCCGCCCTAAGGACGGACCCGGCTGGAGAAGGACGAAGGCTCCGTCCCGGGCCCCCCCGCCAGCCCGCCCCCTCCCAAAAAACAACGCCCCAGGGAAGACAA